GAGATTCAAGCTGGGGAAATGGTTGAATTTGCCAGCAATGTGAAAGGAATAGCCTTGAATCTTGAGAATGAGAATGTAGGGATTGTTGTCTTTGGTAGTGATACTGCTATTAAAGAAGGAGATCTTGTCAAGCGCACTGGCTCTATTGTGGATGTCCCTGTGGGAAAGGCTATGCTAGGGCGTGTGGTCGACGCCTAGGGAGTACCTATTGATGGAAGAGGGGCTCTAAGCGATCACGAGCGAAGACGTGTCGAAGTGAAAGCCCCTGGGATTATTGAACGTAAATTTATGCATGAGCCTATGCAAACTGGGTTAAAAGCGGTAGATAGCCTGGTTCCTATAGGTCGTGGTCAACGAGAACATATAATCGGGGACTGACAAACTGGAAAAATAGCTATTGATATCGATACCATATTAAACCAAAAGCAAATGAACTCAAGGAGCACCTCTGAGAGTGAGACATTGTATTGTGTCTATGTAGCAATTGGAAAGAAACGCTCAACTGTGGCACAATTAACATCAAATTCTTTCAGAAGCGAATGCTATGGAATATTCCATTCTTGTAGCAAACACTGCTTCGGATCCTGCTCCTCTGCAATTTCTGGCCCCATATTTTTGGCTGTGCCATGGGGGAATATTTCCGCGATAATGGAATGCACGCATTAATAATCTATGATGATCTTAGTAAACAGGCAGTGGCATATCAACAAATGTCATTATTGTCATGCCGACCACCAGGCCGTGAGGCTTCCCTAGGGGATGTTTTCTATTTACATTCTCGTCTCTTAGAAAGAGTCGCTAAACAATCAGACCAGACAGGCGCAGGTAGCTTAACCGCCTTACCCGTCATTGAAACACAAGCTAGAGATGTATCAGCCTATATTCCTACTAATGTGATCCCCATTACTAATGGACAAATCTGTTCGGAAACCATAACTTTCCAAACTTCACTTAAAGAGTCTCGTATCCATGCTGCCTCGACTTTAATTTAAACTCGATGTTTGTTAACTAAACAGGACACCCCCAAACTCTTTCTTATCATATCCATTCCCCTTGTACAACCTTACCAAGCAGGCTGTTTTCGTTATGTGTTGTTTACGGAAGGTTAGGAGTGAAATAAGCCAATGCGTCCAAATAGATAGACCAGGATCATCCTTTTATGTTGAGGTCGCAAGTCTGTCTATGATTAAGAGTCTAGGTGGTGTTGAAGCTGGCTTATTCATGCTAGTCATCTTAGAGCTATGAGTCAGAACAATGTTCACCAACTCTTCCATAGTAATCTTGTTCATATATCGACAAAGTCTTAGAATATGAGTTTCCATTGTTATATTAAAGTCTTTTGTATCCTCCCCAAGGTAGCATTGCAGAGCGGGCGATCCCTGTCTTGTTTATCCAGCTAGCTTTTCCCCGTGGTACTCAAATTCTATTTGTGATAGCTCCTTCGGCTCGGCTACTTTTTTTAAGGTAAGGTGGGATCTTTACATTCTCAATAAAAATGCCTATCTATAAAGCGCTGAGTTGAAGAGGGAACAATTCCCACAGAGAGATGAGAAGTGGGGGGAAAGAGTGAAATTACAATCTCTTCTGGAATGGAAGACCTCCTGTCCACTGACTACAAGACTTCAGCCTAACACCCAAGTTAGCTTGACGGTCAGCTAAATAAGTCCCTTCCCTCTTCACATGATGAATTTGAACTCAACATATATTGAGAAATGTTTTCTCAAGATAAAGCATAGGCGCCCAGGTTCTTGATTATTACCATTGGTCCATCTAAGTTAAGAGAACCCCTTTTTGTTTGATATGATGAGTTGAAAAGAATCAATAGTTCGGACAAAACCATGGCTATGCAGGAGAGTTTCTGCTTCTGCAAAGTTTGCATCTTTGATCCCTAGAAGGGATCTCTGTTCAATTCCACATGAAAGCACTATTTCCATCTCTTATGACCCCACCATAATCCTGGTTCCAAGAGTAGCACTCCCTACTCCTTCAAATGTTATTTGAAGATAAAATTTCCACAAGATTAAGATAGATATGTTTGAATTTCAATAAAAAAAGTAATGAAATAAGACCTCATCATGTTCGTCCTTACTAGCATCGCATAAAAAAAATATTTTATTTTTTGTATTTTTATGGTCTGGATTTTTATAATCACCTTAACGAAGGAAGTGGACTTTAACCAAGTCAGCCTTTCTTATGAAGTGGCTATGGCTATTTCCAAAGGAAAATAAAAAGCCACGGTGCTCATATTTGGCTGCTAAGTACCTCTCCAATGGAAAAAATGGAATGACCAACCCACCTCTTAAATATCCTGCATCTAGAAAGGTCTTGTTTGATACAGAAAGACTTTCAGGCAGAACTTGGGCTAGACTTTGGTTGGGCAATGGTAAGCTAATTCGTTTCTGGGATGATGTTTGGCCATGCCACTCTACTAAGAGATGCATGCCATAATTTATATCAATTCACAAGGCTCTCATGATCTCAAAGTGATAGACTACATTCAATATGAGGGAGAAAAAAGGATTTATCCCTCTATTCAACTACCCATCCAAGAGCATTTGGCTTCACTTTATTTTTTATTTTTTGATAGGGAGGATAATATCTTTTGGCAGCTCAATCCTCACGGTAATAATTATGCCAATTCTGCCTAAAAATCTCTTCAGGTGATCAAGAGGGCCCCTTTTTCAGTAGATGACATTAGGATGAAAGGTATTATCTCAACGATACTTTTCTCTGGCTTGCTTTTAAAAATTTCATTTTGGCCTGCGGTAATGTCAAAGGGATTTTCATAAAAAAAGTTCTATGAAATCAAGAGATGGAAAGTTTTGTTCTAAATTATGCCTTATTCCATGAGATCTAGAAGCACTTCTACAACTTTATCTCTCTCCATTTCCCTAACTTTTTTTTTTTACTTCTTTAAAAGGGGAATGAAGACCTTCCTTAGAAGTTGTCGCTCGATCGAAAGGATATAATATATACAAAACCTTAACTTCGCGGACTTTACGAGGTATAACATTAGTGGCTTAGCTCTTCGTGCTTCCCGCATGCTTTTTTTATAGGGAGAGAGTCAGGGGGCGGTATGGAAGATTGGTCCGCTCCGCAAACCTTAGCTTTTCGGTTCCCTCCCCCTATGCGGTCGGCCATATTACCAGTTTGCCTCCTTTCTATTGATGGAATATATCAATACCCAAGCTCCTTTTTTCCTTGTGTTCTTCACCGGCGCTCGCCGGATGTATCACTCATCCCGCTCCTAAGATAAGGAGTCTTTTGTGTGTTAGAATCTTTACGGGAATGAATCGCATATGTTGGTTGAGAATTGCTTGGGGATTCATTGATAATGATACTGACTTTGCCAGGTTCTAGGGGGCTACTATTCTTTTTTTTTTTTTCGATCGAGCCGCTCTCCCTCATTCCACTTATCCAGCCCTCTTCACAAACTTGTACAATCGATGCCATAGAGATAACCAACTCTATTATCGAAAAAATAAGGAAAGGGGCGACGATTTGGCACCATATATCCGGAGGTGTGGAAAGAGCAGTTGTGAGAAGCGGAAAAACCATCAAAAAATGACGATTGTTCATGGAGGTTTCCACAGAAAGACCCCTTGGTTCTGGCAAACGGATCACAATTACAGGTACCTGGGAGCATTCCGATGGAATGAACGAAATACGAATAGTTAACATAATATGGTATAGATCTTAGGTTGTAACATGATCATGAGAGAATTTGTTGATGTTGCACCCATCAAGTATGGAAACTGCCAAACATTGGGAACTACCCAGGGAGGAGTTAGGAATTGGAACAAGGAGAAGCAAGAACCACTTAAATGGAGGAATCGATTGTATTTCGTCCTTTGTTCCCCATAGCAACTAGGGATCAAAAAGCACCAAATTTGATGACTTATTAAGGGAAAGACGAAGTAAGAGCATGTTATTAAAGACGTTGCAAGATATGTCGGGGAGGCCTCCGTTGATTGTGTACAAACAAAATACGAGTCCAAAGGCATGGTAAGAATAAGAAAGGGTTTAGCTAATGGAGATATTAACTCTTCTGGGAACCAGTAACGCGTAAACCATGTCAAACCAAGACCGATCAATATCCGAACGGAACAGATTCGAACTTCTCCTAGAATAGTTTCCGGTGCGAAATGAAATTCATAGGATCTATATATATATATATGAGTAATTCAAACGATAAAGAGAGATTTTATAGGATTCTTTAGTAATGAACAAAACAAATAGGATTGATTATGTATCACAATTTCATCACTACATCGAAGGCTTTTTTGTAAATATATTTATAAGATAGCTTGGTATCCAAACTGTATCAATGATTGTGATCCTCATTGTGTAGTGTACATAATTCGTGTTAGGATCTACTAAAGAGGGTGGGTATATGGCATCTAATAAAAAAGTTTCCATTTCTATCGGTCATAAAATCAATCAAAAAAGAAAAAGCAGACAGGAACAGTTTTATTCTCTAAACACGCAGGTTTGGGGTTCTTTTTTTAACACCCTAATTCTCTTATTTGTTGGCTTTAATTGCATGAAAGAAAATAGAGAAAAAGACCTTCAAGATAATAACCATTTTCAAGAGACAAACTCCAGTGAACCACTTTCCTCCTCTCTTCTTTTCTTCATTCCCCCTTTGAAAGAAGTAAAAAAAAAAGTATCTAACGCTCTAATCTAATTGAAGACTTTCAACGCTCATGCTATTTGAAAGAGCTTTCAACAAGGAGTGGAAACTCCATAACGTACACAAAGAGTAACCGCTCTATGAATATCATCCTAATTCAGGTCTTGTTCCGCACTTAAACGGATAACTCAAAGCCTTACCTTGACCAGGAAAACCTCGATGACATAATCATTTATAGTCACTCACTGGAGGTTTGGAACCCTGAGTATAGTGTTCCGGGTGCAGCAGGAAAAGAGGTTGTACGTGAAAGGGTACTCAGACTAAAGTGCTATTTCTTGGCCATTGGATCAGCAAGGGTGTGATTCAGATGGATCAAGAGAAGATCAGGTCTGTTTTGGACTGGGAAGCGTCGAAGAAGGAGAGAGCAGGCAGCGGTGGTGAAGCCGGATGCTCGAAGCAATTTTCTTTTTTTTACGACAAGACAGCTTAGGAGGAGTAGAAAGTTGCCACAACCTAGGAGGGGTTTCTATTATAGGAAGCCAAAAAACTTGAGCCTTTTTACAAACTTCTTAAAGGGGGAGAGCGACAGGACGGCTTCAAGGAGAACATCGAGATGCCATCAGTTTGGAGCACGAGGCCAGCAGAACTTGCTGCAGAGGAGATCCGGTAACTGTTATGAATGTGGAGGAGTGGGGCATTTTTCTCGTTACTGCCCCAATGTTCAAACGGACGAATGCTGCTGGGGGAGTGTAGAATAGACCAGCTGAAGATGGAAGAGTGCATGTTGTGGAGCCTAGAGCCCGGGAAGCTCTAAAGGTAAGTGAAAGTCGGAAACATAGCAAGGGTTCTGAAGCTTAGGAGAGGAGACTGTTTTGCTGTCGTTAGATTGTGTGGCAACGTGAGCCAACACCAGCAGAAAGGAGGAGGAGACGGAAGGATGTATTCTAAATCTATGTCCGAATTGGACAGTGCGAAGATGATCATTGATGCTGGGAGTTCGGATAACCTAGCGTCCACGGAGATGGTGGGTCGGTTGGGGCTGGGGAAGTTAGAGCAAGACGTCTGGTGTGAGGTCGTCCCTATGTATTACATATCCTACTCGGAAGATCGTGGTAATACGTGTAGGGTGTTACCTGCATAGGGAGAACACCGGTTGACTTTTAACGGCAAACGCGATTATTGCCATTAGAAGACTTTGGTTGGCTAAGGAGAAAGGGTGTTAGCATAACATTTATGGACGTAGTGGAAGATTCCATAGAATGCTATGTGTAATACTAGTCAAAATAGGTCAATAGATAATCACATGTGATTATGCCAATCATGTAATGTGATTATGTTAACCTAGTAATGTGGTAAGAATCTTATGAAGTTCATGTTAAATTCTAATACAAATATGAACTTTCTTTATGATACAACTCAAAGTATACGTCCATACGATTTCAAAAATATAGAGAACGTTTGAATCTGACTTCGAATGAAGAAGTTATAATAACCGAACACTATAAATCTCTATAATAAGAGAAATTTAAAATAGACTTAGAATTAGCTATTTAAGTCTAAAAGAGAGTTGTAGTAATCATAAATACCTACGCGTGCATATAAAGAACGTCAGAAACGGAGTTCGTATGCAAAGTTATGGCCTTTCGAAGATTTAGCTTTTAAAATCCCTAAACTAACTAAATTTACGACGTGAGTTTTATGACACTCACGACGTGAGGAGTCATTTTGTCATAATTCAGAATCTAGAGGCTGCGAGAGGATAGGATCCAAATTCACGACGTGAGCTTTATGACACTCACGACGTGAGGAGTCACATGGCCACCTTCCGAAGCTAGGGACATAAATGGCAAGTCTATGGAGTGATCAGGCAAGACTCACGACGTGAGCCTTATGACACTCACGACGTGAGTGTCATAAATTCCTACTATAAATAGCAGATCCGACTTCAGCCATTCTTACACCGAAACTTCTTCCCTTTCTCTCCTTTGCTGAGGCCATCTTGCATCCCGAGCCCCAATGATCTCGCGCGATGACCGTTTTGCTTAGATATCATAAAATCACGCTACTAGGGTGAGTTTCACGACCCCACTTTCTAATATTTCGGGGGAAAACGCATGCTAGTCATTGTATATATATGTTATTATTATGTCTATATTATAGTATATAGTTATGATAAATCGAGATATGATGATTCTAAATATAACATTTTGAATACATACGACTATTATTAACTTATCAGTATGTTAATTTACTAATGTAGATCTTGAGTTATACTTAGGATTCCATATATATGTTGTGTGCAGTATAATACCGAAGTAATATTCGAAAGTTCAAAATGTTAGGTTATATAGTATGTTGCTATTAATAGTTTTATGTCAAGATAAAACTGGATATGTTATATGTTGTTATTGTTAGTTTTATGTCAAGATAAAACTTGGTATTGTTATTGATATTTTTATGTCAAGATAAAACTAGAAACGTTATATGTTGTTATTATTGGTTTTAGGTCAAGATATAACCTAGTTTTTACTTCAAGATATAGTTGTTATACTGCCTAAATATTATGAAGTTAGGAGTAATGTTTAAAAGCATAGTCTAGCAACTTAGGGTTTTAGACATGAAGATGCTTTTGTTGTTAGAGCTATAGGAAGCCGTCAAAGTCTACATGAGTAATTGTATTCATCAACTAAGATTGGGGATCTTAGCGGAAATCCTCTGAACTGTAACCGTTAATCCCATGTGAGCGAGGAAGTCGTGTATAAGTAGTATACGGGCTGACCACCCCACATGCGACTGTTAGCTACAGTCAACCAAAAGCAAGTGATGAACTATCCTTTTATTTGTTATTATTCCGGCATCGATGAAGCGTACGATGTTGTTTCTCATTTTAAATCATGAGTGTATTTGTTCTCATGGTAAATCATGAGTGTATTGTTCTATCAAAGGTATTATGTCATAGCAGCAGTTACAGGCTCATGGTAGCAAATTGTTAGAAACATTATACCTTGTCGTATACAAGTATTAATGTTAAGTATAAGTTTTCCCCTACTTATACCTTAAGATTAAGAAATGTTTAGGTATAACACTTAATTGATAAGTATACCATTATACCTAATGTTGGAGAGTCAAAATGATACTTTCAAAACTATACTTTTCAATGTGTAAAAATGTATTATTTTATGGAGTCAAAACCTGTGAACTCACAAACTTTATGTCGACGAATTTTAAAATGCATGTGTTTTCAGGAACTTGAAAAGCTGGTATGTACTCGAGCAGAAGAAGTTTTACTATTATCTTTCTATTCATTAAGAAGTATGTCATAGTCGGATATTATGTAATAATTACTATGAAAACAACAATGTAACTTTCAAACATTAATAAAGGTATTAGTTTTGTACCTTCTAACGTATATAGTTAAGAATTCTCCTCACGCTTTTTCTTTTTCATTCATGATTTGATGTTCTATATTCCTCTCTAGTCTAGATTCCTCGTCGATTCTTCCCCTCGTTCTTAATATCTTCGACATCTCACTTTTCCTTGCAACGCATTCTTTTCGATCGTGTACCCGCGCATAGGCTACACAAGCAGTATATTGAATACCAACCCAATCTCGATGAAAAAAGTAGAAGCAACTATACCCAAGAAGGCTGACGAAGCTTCTTTGCATCCCATAGTGTTATCGCACTAAGCGACTTCTGTTCCAGAGTCGTACAACAAAGTGATTAGCATACCAGAGTAACGCAAGGCTCTAAGCTCGTACCTTATAAGTAAGCTCTTTGTGCTCTCTCCACCCGTTCCTTTTTGTAGCGTAGATCTTTCTTCTCTTAAGAGATTTTGAGAAGAGTGAGTGCGCTTTCGAAAGTTTCGACTTTTCGATCTTTCTTCCCATAGTGTACAAGCACTAAGCGAGTAAACTACCTTTTTTCTTCTCTTTTGTCCCCTGTTTTGTTTTTTTAATAATCCAGATATCTCGGAGAAACTACACTAAAGGGAACTGTTAAGTCAAGACGATGCCTAGAAATGATAGTAACACCTGGGTCGAAATTCCAAATCCCAACTTAAGTCGGCCTACACTTTAACTAGGAACAGAAAGGTCTGTGAAATAACCGTGTTGCTCGATCAGTGAAACCTGAGTGATGGTCTTCTGGGACGAGATATTCGTAATGGATCCTTCATAGACATTATTTTAGATTGTTTCTAATTGTGGCTGCAATGCGTAGGCCGTCGTTCTCTGATCCATTCTTTAGGTGAGAGGAAACCTTCTCTTTCAAAATGAATGGACAGTAAAAAAAGAGGAACTGCCTATAGATAAGTATATAGATATGCTATTTTGATGTGATGTAAGAATCGATTCTCACATAATATACTATATTAAGTGACTTAATCCCCAAAGCATGATATGCTCAAAGGGAGAAGTCGGTCCGCTCGATTTCAGTTGAAGTCAACTCACGGGGAAGAAAGAGTTGGCGATCTTTACTCGTCCATCACTCCCACTTGAAGTTAAGAGGTAGTTGGAGCACGAGATGAGGGCTCACATAGAGATGGATGTTGTCAAAGCTAATAAGGAATAAAAAAAACCCCATGATTTTTGTTCTTATTCTTATGGGGAAGAGTGAACACTATGACTAGTGGGGGCCCCTCCTTATTTGAGTTCGCATCTGAGAATCGTAACATCAAAAAGACATTGATTGGACTTGAGAGCATTTTCATATTAATCATCAATCAAAGGGGCGGGTTAGCGCGAGAGTAGGCAACTAACACATCCTTGCTAGAATAATTTACTCCCAGACTTATATACAAGAATCAAAGAGACATGGGCTCTATCAATGGGAGCTTAGGTAAAGGCTCGAATAGCTTAGTTGTTAGTTGAAAGACTCTATATGGGATGTTCTTTCTATAGAGCGATAAACAGAGGGATCTTGCTTTCTAAAAGACATAGTCAGGCAGAAGGCAGTGTGTAGTCAGCCAATAGATGACGCCAGAGAGGGATTTGTCAAAGCACGGATAGGAGCTCTACCAGGATATGATCTCTCTCATTGAGAAAGCGCTGTCAAAGCCGTTATCCTAATAGCTTCACTCAAGAGCGAACAACCACTAAATTGCCTTAAAAATGGAGGAGCGGAAGGGGTAAAGTCAACGACCGAGGCCAGAAGGTATGTGAAAGTAGAAGCTAGGGACAGAGAGAGCGGAGGAGAGGACTGATTAAATGAATGTTATTTTACGCTGATAGGAATGAGGGTTATCCATGTCTATTCTATTTCTCCTGTCTTATTGATCAATGGCGTGCCATGAGATGCTTCGCCCGGAGGATCATGCATGGTGAAGATCCCAACATGATCTACTCGGTCAAGTCTGATTAAAGCACTCCAACCAACCCAACAAAAGAAGCAACGGGGTACTACTGGAATGAAATCAGCATCTCAGAGCTAGGAAAGTTGTTTGGGGTTCTTTTGGGGTTTATTTGTTGTTTAAAAAATGGTTAGGTAGTTGGTTATGGATAGGTTGGAAACAATAGGTGTTGTGGTTTGTTTTGTTTTGTTTATTTGTATTCTTTTATGCTTTCTTAATAAAGCTTGTCGAGCTTTGGCTCTTTCAAAAAATAGAGAAGAATGTTGAAATGAGAATTGCATTTAGTAGCACTGACGCCTCATCCATATGAGACTTGGAAAGCGAGATAGGGCCTAACTGGGAGGCAGGAAGAAGACTACATGAGTGGTTCATGATGGAATCTCTTTGTCTTTATGGTGCCATAGCTACGACTCCACCCCAAAAATAGTAATAGGAGGGAGCCGCTAATTCACCGGGAGATCGTGATGAGGCAAAGGGGGCTTTATTAAAGACCTCTGGGTCGTCCACTAAGTGAGTGAAAGAGGTCTCATTAGGAGAATTGGGAAGAGAGAAGGCCAGCCTCCCACTATGTAAAAGAAGAGCTTTTTCTCTCATATTCACTTCTATAGAATATATATATATATATATATATATATATATATATATATATATATATATATATATATATATATATATATATATATAATAGGTAGTTCGCTTAGTTGCAGCTGAAGCCATAGATCTTGATGCGTGTATGGGGGCTATTTTTGGATGGAATAGAGAGAGAGAGAGAGAGAGAGAGAGAGAGAGAGA